GATTTCGATTGCGAACCTTTTACGATATCATTATCGGGTCAAATCCTGAGAATTCGCGATACCCGTCCGTTTGAGCGTCCGTTTTTGAGCATTTAGCGAAACTTATCCGGAAAGTCCGATTCATTTTCCGTGTTGTTCTATCCAAAAATAAAAGTAAAAGTACTATTTTTAAAAATCATATATTTTATAAATTAATTTAATTAAAGAATGTATTAATTTGTGCCATGAACTGTCCCATCCATGGCTTCATTTCATTAAAAAGACATTCTCTTTTGTTGTACAAAACAATAAAACAAAGTTAAATACAAATATTGGATACCGTGGGTTCTTTCTTTTGGCCAAAAAAAAAAAAAAATAAATAAAGAAAGACAAAAATTTGGTAAAAGAAGAAGCGGAATAAGTAGGGTTGACATATTCAGGTTAAAGAGATGCGACTAAAGCCCACTTTTGATCTCATTTGCTTTGCAAAGAACGGCGGCTAAAACATTCTGATTCACTTTCATGCGCCGAACACCATCTCCGATTGTTCGGGCTAACGAAAAGGCCGTGACAACAAAAATGTTGGCCAGAGAAGGAAATGCAACAACAACAACAAGAACAACAACTATAAAACTGAGGAGCTTGAAAGATTTTATTTGCTTAGCCAACGCTGTGAATATTTAATTTGCGCACTCACACACTCGAATATAAATATATACGAAGAGAGGCTTTAACGACACTGGTGACCCAGATTTTCGGGGCAAGCTTAAGCTTAAAAGCTACAACGCTAATAAGAACAGCAATGCCGCCGCCATTGCCCACACAGACACACTTGAAAAACTCAACAGCAACAAAATAAATAAATATATTCCCAAACGCCAAAAGCATTGTTGTATTCTTTTTTTTTTTTCTTCCTCTGTGCGTGCCGAGGAAAGATACTCACTAATTAACCCAAAGCCAGAGTCAGAGCCAAAAGAATCAACCAAAAACTCATTTGCAAATTGTGCCCGAAAGAGATGGAGGCTTTAAAGAAAAGAAAGAGGTAGATCAAGATTTGGGGGAGATAGAGAGAGAAAGATTGGAGGTAGCACCCAAATATAAATATACATAAATTATGCCTAGGAAACCCCAAAAAATCACAAAGCTGTAGTTGTGAGTATGCTCAGAAGTTGGCCAAAGACAAATTGTACATATGACATCATATAGGGTGGCCTTATTGTTAGAAGAAAGAACGCAAAGAGATTATAATTTACTGTATAATTTTTACTTTTCTTGGAAATTAATAAATAAAGCTTAACAAGGCCGGATGCTAACAAAAAATATGTTAGGCCAAAGAATAACTAGAATGTTGATTAAATTTGTAGAAATATTAGTACTTTGTTGAACTATGGTATTATAAATCATTAACCCACTTTTTAGCCTTCATTTATTACTTTAAAATTGATTTTATATTTAGAAATATTTATAAATATTTTAACAACTTAAATTATTTATTCAGGTGTTACATATCATGCAGTGTAATTATATAAACTTTTATAAAACCGGTAAAACTTGAAGATTTTTAATTGAAAATAATATTTTAATATTTATAATAAGGCTAACATAGATTTTTTTATATTAGACAATATGATAATTTTATTATCTTTATTTAAATAATATAGAATAGTTTTATAATATTTAATTTAACCTTATTTTTCATCATACAAATCCTTTGATAAAGGCAATTTTTAGCTTTTGCTTCTTTTTAATTTTTAAAATCGAAATTTCGCTTAAATGACTCAACGTGGGTAAAACCCTTTGGCACCTGCAATCCCCTTTCTTTTCCTTTCTTCTGGGGCTTTGGATTTCACAAGACACCTTCAGAAATCCCTCACAAGCACACATGCATATTTGGAGCTCATTTATTGTCCAACATTGTTAAGTAACCATGATCATCTGAGTTTTTTTTCTTTAACAACTTTTAATGTTTACATTTGGCGCTTTGGCCCAAATATTCTGAAGCTGACAGCGGTTCCCAACTCCGAACCGATTGGGAGTGGGATGGCGGGTGCTCCGGGCCGTCTCTTTCTGTATATTATTCCTCCTCTTCGCTTGGGTTGAAGTAATCATTGTCATGCAGGCGATTCTGCTTCATTATTTCGCCGGCTGTACCCACGCTTCTTCCCATCTTACCATCTTACCTTCTTCCACTTGATAGCCATCGTAATGAGCTTTAAGTTTGAGGGTTCTGATCATCATCTCATGACGGTTTTTTGGGAACAAGATGAAGATGCTGCTGGCGCATCGCCTTCGTCATTTGTTGGTCACGCTGATGCTGGGGCTTTTGTTTTAAATACTCTTGTGTGAAGATGGGTCCATTGACTAAAGAAAAACTATTGAACATTTTATTTTTTAGATTTTATAACAAATAAAACATAAAATACATTTAAAGCCAGAGTAATCTGTAAAAATAATAATTATAAAATGTAAAAACTTAACAATGAAAAAGTTAAAATATTTATAAAAAATGTTAAAGAAATAAACTTATCTTAAGATTTTCTAAATAAGTTTTCCTTATAGTTGATGACCATTTCCTATAATGTTAGAGCATTTAATCTTCTGCTAGTATCTGCCACCTCAAGAAGTAGGTATTTTCTTTCGATTTCATTGCTTTTTTTTTTGCTTTTGCTTGCTTAACCAATATTTTGCCGGTCGATAATGAAAGGAAAGCAAAACCGGTGGTCAGGGTGCGCGGAATGGAGCCGAGAAGCTGGAACTGGAGATCCCACAAGCCACAAGACCCGAAATACACAACAAAAGCTTATAATCATCAAGAGTGAATCTGCTGGTGAAATGGTCTTGGTTTTTGTTTTTGGTGGCGGTACACACACCGTCAGTCAGTCATGTTTGTGGTTTAGACTTTGCTTTCTTTCGAGGCGGTTTCCATGGGGGGGATTTCATAATATTTGCATTGGTGTGGGCCTTTTTGCTCTTACAGGTGTTTGTGTGACCCACTTTCGGGCGACATCCCAGCTCGATGCCTGAGAAGTTCTGCCCCGACGCAAAAGCCAACAAAAAAACACGCTCTCTGAATGATGCGCGGTGGGCATTTCTCGGAAAGGCTAATATTACACTGGTTAAAAGCCCAATTCATTCGTTGAGGGAGACGTGATGCTCCAGGGTCGAAATAATGAAAAAAAAACAGAATATGAGTTGCAATTATGGCAACCTCGGTACAAATATCAATTTGTAGGAAACAAGAAATATAGATTTAAGCAAAAAATCTTTATTTTTAGTTAATTGGGTAACCAGTATGTTCGTTGATTAGCTGATTATTTTTTAGTTAGATTGTCGATATATGTCGATATGTATGTAAAACTTCCTAGAAATTTCACAAGGTTCTAAAGAGAGTTTAAAGGGAATTCCCGGGTAGAAAAATTAAAGATAAATAGAAATTAAAAATAGTATACATATGTATATGTAAGTGGGATGTACTTATATCTTTTTTTTTTTTGTAACACTATTGCTAATGTTTTATATCCACACTTTATTAAAAATATTAGGTATAAACAAAAAAAAATTAAATCGAATTCTATAAAGTTTTCGGTAAGACAATTCCTAGTATATAAGCAATATTTTCTTTATTATTTTTTTAAATTAAAAATAAATTAAACAACAAACAAATTAACAAATTAGTTAGTAACTTTATTTTAAAGGCGCCCCTATTGGCCATATTGTCTATATTTTGACACTAGATGTCGCTTTAACTTCTTGTAGAATGTAGACTCATGTTTACATGTATTAATTGCACTGGCTTATAAATATATATTTTTTTAATTTATTTATAAAATGGAAAAAATAATTAAAAAAATAAAATGTCTAAGATGGATTTAATTTATTAAATTTTAAAGCTGATTTTACCTTCGAACAGCACTGCTAATTTCTGTTCGTATACATTTTACGCTCCAATTATAGGAATATAACCATACATAATTTTTTGTAACAAAGGTTTCCAAAAATGTAACATTTAAAATTTTTGGTAAATTTAAAATTTTATTTTTAAATATATACATTAATTAGTCTTAATTTGTATCAAAAAAAAAAAGCATATAAAAATGTCTAAGCGTATGACAACTTTATTATTGACCTTGGGTCGCATAAAGTCCATGCTAGTCATGAAAAAGTTCCATCAAAAACATTGATTAGGAATAATAACAGGAACAGAAAAAAGTGCTAAGCGTGGAAGCCATAATATCAGCGTCATCATGGGCTATTCGAGTCGTCGTCTTCCCACTGATAAGCCACTGTCTGGCGAGACGAGCAACTTGAGTTTTTCTTTTTATTTGAGGGTCTGGAACCTGCCAGATGTCAGCTCAGAGAAATTGCTATTAAGTAATTGATTTCCGCTCCCCATAATAATATTTACAGAGCAAACATTACAATGCAAAGGAGTGTTCATAGTTGAGTGGAAGGGAAAATGTTCATGGTATAAAAAACTTTTATATAGTTCTCTTTATATTATGCTTTTTAAATCTAGCTTTTACATTTCTATTTTACAATTATATTTTTTTTTATAAATGTTTTATAGCTTAAAATCTTCTTAAGCTGCTATTAAGTGAGAAATTCTTTAAGATATTTCTGTATTTCCCAGTTTAGTCCTTAGTGGTAGAAAAAACGTGTATAAAAAAGTCATACAGTTTTATGCAAGTTTAAAATTAATAGATTTTAAGTTTTAGTGTTTATTTATAATTTAATAAAATAAATAGTTTTCGTAAAATTCATTCATAATCCAGATATTGCTCCTAAAATATAACTTTATCATTATTGTATGAATAAGCTGTAATTAGCTCTGATGTTTATTTATAAATGACGCAAAATTAGCGTTAAAAAAAACAGCCCCATATTGCTCCACTCGCTCTTTAACGTTCTCTTAACCCCAAACCCTTGGGCTCCCCAAAGAGAGGACGGTGGAGCAACTCGGTATTTCTCGGAGAGACAACCACAGCTGCTCGCTAAATTCGTCGCGTGTTTTGGAAGCAACAATATTCCGATTCAAATGCTCCACAACCCTCGTCCGAGGAGCCCCACCGCATTTTTCGTTGGACGCGAACGCCACATTACTTGTCCGCAAATCAAGGAAAATCAATTCTAACATAGTGCCAAAGTGCGTGCAATAAAAGTGTCAAATTAAGATAACCAAAAGCTAAAAAAATCGCCAAAAACATTGAAATATGGAGCGTATTTTGAGGGGGATAATGCGATACAGAAATACAACGCGCGAGCAAATGGTGAAAGAGTTCCAGAAAGTCCGCGATAATCCAGAGGTGAGCAATCAATAGGTTTTATAGGTCAAGATCTAAGGCAAGCTGTCTGGAATTTGTTGTACATAAATAGACAAAAAAGCATTAGAATTTCGCCTTGTGGGGAGCTATTATTGCATGTGTTTTAATTTTATTATCACATTTTTTTCCAACTTGTCAGTCCGAGAGCTTGGCGCTCTTCCACTTCGCTCTCGCTGTTTGTCGCTCTTTATCTTTCTCTCTAAGTGGCTTTATTTTTGGTAAACAAACAACAAAGGTAAACCGGTTGTCAAACAATCCCCCCACTGCCACCCCCTCGACTTTGCTTAATATTAAATTTTATTTTTATATACTTAAGTGATTGCTTTTCGGTGCTCTTGGACTTCGTGCATTGCACTTTCGCTAATTATTAAATTAATTCGGTTCTAATTGGAAATATGTGAATGGGTTTTTAGCACACCGATACAAAAAACTACTCTAGGTAATAAATCAAAATAATAAACAATTTAGTGGATGTGTAAAAACCGTAAAATGAAAGGAAAACAGTTTATTTAAGGACAGCAAATTGATAATTTTTATGAGAATATATTTGGAAAATTAATGTTTAAAAATATCAATCTATCTCTGATTTTCTGATAGTTTTAACTTGCTCAAACTAGAAGTCTTGAAACTATAACGCCACTTGTCCATTATTTAAGTGGAGAAGGTGGCCACAAGTGACGCATGACTTGTCCATCCATCAATACTTTCAATATTTTTCAATTTCCCGCCTCAAACAGCCTTGAACCGAACCCACTGACACTTTGGCCGCTGGCCAAGTATGTCATAACTTGTGTGTTGGCTATCTGCAGAATATTTTTATGTACACACTAGCCAGTATCTATGTACCGCTAACTCTTGATACGCTTTATCTTTCAGCCGAAGGCCGTGTTCTTCACCTGCATGGACAGTAGAATGATTCCCACCCGGTACACGGACACCCATGTGGGTGACATGTTTGTGGGTAGGTGTATATCGTTTTACTGGTAATCAATATGGCTTTAACATTCCCAACGATTCCCATGATACAATAAGTGCGAAATGCGGGCAACTTGATTCCCCATGCCCAGCACTTCCAGGATGAGTACTTTAGCTGCGAGCCGGCTGCCTTGGAGCTGGGATGCGTGGTCAATGATATCCGGCACATAATCGTTTGCGGGCACAGCGACTGCAAGGCCATGAATCTGCTGTACCAGCTGCGGGATCCAGATTTTGCCTCCAAGGTTGGTTTATTAGGAACCCAGGTTATGGAATATATAATCACTTACCCTTTAATCACCAGCTGAACCGTCGCCTGTCGCCCTTGCGATCCTGGCTGTGCACCCATGCCAACACCAGTTTGGACAAGTTCCAAGAGTGGCGCGACGCCGGCATGAAGGATCCCTTGCTCTTCTCCTCGGAGACGCCGCTGCGTCGCTTTGTGGCCTACATCGATGAGGAGCAAAAGTTCGCCGTCGAGGATAAGCTTTCGCAGATCAACACTCTGCAGCAGATGTCCAATATTGCCTCCTATGGCTTCCTTAAGCCCCGACTGGAGTCCCATGACCTCCACATACACGCCCTGTGGTTCGATATTTACACGGGTGACATCTATTACTTTAGTCGCGGCGCCAAGCGATTCATGGCCGTGGATGAGGACAGCGTGGATCGATTGTCCGAGGAGGTCAGGAGATTCTACTCGTAGGCACAATGTCCGCGGATCAACTAACTGGATTATCTGTGATATGTGGGCCTTATCTACCGTTTACGGCATTTACAAATGACCAATTGTTAGGATTGTTTTGTGTATTTATAAGTGTGTAATTGTTTTTTGTATATAAACTTAAGGCCTACGAAGGTTTCAACTTACAAATCTACGAAAAATCAACGAAGGAGATGGCTATCCATCGCCCACTTGCTAAAAGACCATCTCATAACTCTAACAAGAAGATCTTAAGGATGGGAAATCAGACATGTTGCTATAACGAATTTTATACAAAATATGGAGCTGGATATTGCGAGTCTTGTAGCAAGTGAGCGATTTATACATATATACGTATTTATCATATTTATCATTACGGGAAGCGGTAAGACTTTGGGGGCGCACCACCATGGGGCGCTTCGATGTGTGTGCACAACAACAGACCGAGTTTCATGTCTTTTGAACGGAAAACGGCATTGGTTAAATATACGGAAAACAACGAGCTACTCAGTTCAGTGGTACTTGTGGCCGTGGTGGCTCATGGCACTGTTGTTCGGATTCTCTAGCTCCTCAAAGTACTTTCGCGCATTCCGTATATTCACCAGGGTGGCTTCCGAAGGCAAGGTGGGATCCGACATCACCACCATCACATAGGTGTTGCTGGTAAAGGTATCGATGAAGGCGGCAAAGGCATTATTACGCACCTCCATTGACTGGAACTTGGCGCCCAGCTTGGAGCAGCTCAGCTTGAACTGCTTGATGATGTTGGACACCTTCTCGAAGCGGTGCGAGTCGCGATTCTTCTTGCTCTGGCAATGGGAAATCACCAGGAAGGTGGCCTTTTCGAACAGCAGCACCTCGTCGGCCTCGATAACGTTGGCAAAGTGCGTTACCGAGTTCTCCAGGACAGCCACATTCGGTATGAGCATGGTGACAATGGAAGACCAGGCTCTGTAAATCAGTTAGAGGTTAAATAAAAGTCATTTCCAGGCTATGGAGCACCTACTTGTACAGTGTTTCATCCCAAATGCTGGTGCGGAAACAGGTGACATTGCCGGGCTTCGACAACCGTATGAGATCGTCCTCGCGCACCTTGAACTCGCTCTCGCGATGCTCCTCCGGCACCAGATCCATTTTGTGCACCAAGCAGAAGATCTTGGCCTCCGGCGAGTTCTGCAGCAGGGCCTCCAGGCAGCTCTGGTAGTAGTGGACATCGCGCTCCATCTCCCGGCTCTCCACATCGAACACATAGATGAGCACTTCGACATGACGGAAAATGTTCTCGCGCTGCTGGGCAAAGTACTGTTTCATGAAACCCTCTTGACCGCCACAGTCCCAGAGGTTCAACACCAGGTTGCCCAGGAACTTGACATGCGAGTGCTCCACATCGACTGCGGGCGGGAATCGGAATAGGTTTTGGATCCTGATTATATAGTCATTCTACTCACTTGTTGCTCCAAGGCGTGTCGTATCACGGGCAATATAGTTGGCAAAGATAATGGAACGCATGCTGGTCTTCCCCGACCCGCTCTTCCCCATCAGCAACACCTGGGGGAAAGGCAAATGTGTTGCAAACACGGCTCGGGAGGAGTTTTATTGAATTAAGTTACCTTCTTCTTCATTGTGCTGCTCCCCGTTTAGTAATTCAACAATAAAAACAATAAAAACAAATAGTAGGCTGGGCTAAAATTCGATAACTTTGCAATCGGTGTGACCGTCGATTAATTTGTATTTGTGGTGTGACCATTGGTGTACAACTTTAAAAACCCCAAATACTTTTTTCACACTTTTAATATTTTTGTTATGATTAATTCTTGCGAAATAAACTAATTGCCGCATAAATACACGTTTATTATGAACGATATCAAGCGTTTGAAGGACCAGCAGCGCGAGAAGCACCCCGGATTCGATGGTTACATCGACTGCATGACCCGCTCCCTCTTCACCGGCCTCGCCGCATTCTGTTTGGGTACGTTTTGCTGTCTTTTGTTATTTAAAGAAATTGCATAATAAATTACACAAAATTGCAGGCTTTTCCGGCACCTACTTTGCCCAGAAGATCATACAATCCCGCATTCGCTATCCGGCCAAGTACAATATCCTGGTTTCCTCCCTAGTAGCCACCGGTGTTTCCTATCAAGCCACTTCGACCCGAACGAGATCCTGCCAGGCGGCGTGGATGGCCTTTGAGGACAAGCATTCCGTGCTCAACGAGAAGACCTTTTAGCTTTAGAAAAGTTCTAGTTAATTAGGTTTAGTGATGTCGAGTCTCCGGGCATGGATGCGTCTGGCAAGGAGTCTTCCTCTTCCGCGAACGATGGCAGCAATGCCATGCCGCTTTAAGTACACGCAACACCAAGGGGTTAAGGGTATTCGTAACCGGAAGAGCTTCTATGAGGCACAGATGCAGGCGGGACAGGGAGACGAGGAGGAAGGTGACATGGAGCAGAAGGAACAGGGCTCGCCGGAGCTGACAGACATGCGATTTTTAGATGATCGGTAAGTAAAAGTAAAGCAAGTAAGGGAAATTTGTTATCTTATTGATTTCCCATTCCAGCGCCTACGACGAAGTGGCTGGTGGAGCTATGAGAATCACGCGAGACACAGCCAGCTCCCAGCAAGTGCTCATCCTGCAGCCCTACGTGAAATGGGCAGCCAAACGGCAAAATAGCCCCAACAGCGATGTCCGACCAGAGGATCAGCTGGCCGAAGCCTCCGCCTTGGTTCATTCCCTACCCAATTGGCAGGTGGCCAAGGCTCTCAAGGTACCCCTAGAGAGTCTCGAGAAAAAGACCCTATTCGGCAGCGGAAAGCTGATGGAACTAAAGGCTCTTGTGGCCGATTTGCGACAGGAGCGACATCTAACCTGCCTGTTTGTTAGCAAGGGAACGTTGTCCTTTGCCCAGAAGCGCTTTCTCGAGGCGGAGTTCCGGTTGCCAGTTATGGATCGGTATTCGGTGGTCATTCAAATCCTTAGGTTGCATGCCACCAGTGCAGAGGCAAGGCTTCAGGTAAGAATATTAGGTTTACCTAATTACTTAATCACTTTATTTATAATATATTTCAGGTAGCAATGGCCGAACTTCCCTATATCTGGGCCCAGGCCAAGGATGCCAGTGTTACCCAGACGCGACGGCAGGGATATGCCTTAACCGATTTGCAAAAGGAAATTCTGCGGACCCGTGAGCGAAAGCTGCGCGCCGAACTGGATCGTGTGCGCCGCCAAAGACAATTGCTACGCCAGAAACGCAAGCAGCAGAATTATCCCATTGTGGCGGTGGTGGGATACACCAATGCCGGGAAGACTTCGCTGATAAAGGCTCTAACAGTGGAGGATGCACTGCAGCCCAGAAATCAACTTTTCGCCACTCTAGATGTTACAGCCCATGCGGGCTGTTTGCCCTGCAACCTGGAGGTCATCTACATGGACACCGTAGGCTTTATGTCTGACCTGCCCACTGGATTGTTCGAGTGCTTTGTGGCCACCCTGGAGGATGCTATGCTGGCGGTAAGTTAAATAGGTATTGGATTTTTTAGTAGCTATTCAAAACATCATTCTCTTCCAATAGGACGTAATTGTCCACGTTCAGGACTTGTCGCATCCGTGCCACGCCGCCCAGCGAAGTCATGTGGAAGCCACACTGCGTTCCCTGGCTTTCAATGTGGCTGGCGGAGACTCTACGGCCAGCCAATTGCCTCCGATTATCGATGTGTACAACAAATGTGATTTGGTATCCTCCATACCCGAAGCTGCTTCAGATGCAGCTGCTGTCCACCGTATATCAGCCCGATCTCAGACGGGACTTGAACACCTGCTGGAGGACATTGAACAGCAGATATTGACATCCACCGGGCGAAGAAAGCTGCAGATGCGAGTGCCCAACGGTGGGCCTGAAATGGCCTGGCTTTATAAGAACGCCGCCGTGGTGGAGACCATAGCTGATGAGGAGAATCCAGAGCGTCTGATGATGCACGTGGTGATAAGCCAACGCACCCTGGACCAGTTCAAGCGAGAGTTCCTTCGGTGATCTAATTAGTTTGTTAATGCTTAGGTTTCTGACTAATTTCTTTATTATTGCTCTTGTTCTTTTTCTGGTTTAGTTACTAGCGAGTGTAGTTAGGAATGGTTGTTATTGTTTTCTCTCTTTGATTCTTATATAAATATAAAATTTGCTACCACAAAAATAAAAACGAAAAAGTTGTCTAAAAATATATTTAAACAGAACATTTTTGTATTGCACTTAGCGCTGGCCTTTTTTGTGCTGTGAAAATCGGGTGATCTGATCCCGGAATCAACCATTATTATAAATATCTAAGGGCAAGTCTTGTGGCTCGCCTCGAAACTATACGAATGTACATATATATATTTGTGTGGTGCTGACTCTGTGTGTATTGGCACAATTGAATATCTAAAATAAAAAGCAGCGCCCTTGAACATAAACAACTTAATTATAAAATAAAATGAAGTATAAACTTAACACCGATTTTAAATAAACAAATTCTTAAACCAAAAACAGCTTAAAAGTTAAGTTTAAAAATGAATAATTAAAAATTACAATAAACTAAAATAATTTAAAGAAAATATAATCGTTAAAAGATTTTATAAAATTCAGATTTCTTCAAAATCTTTTCAGCTTTTTCTGTTACAAAATTTTGGAAAATAAAGTTTACAATTTCCCATATTTTTAAGAATATTGTTAATTTCATTATTTTAATTTAATTATATTTTAACCAAATCTTATAAATTGTCATATTTGTTTGTCACTTTAGATGGGTAACATTTCCTTGGCTAAAAATATATAGAATATATATATTTCGATGGGATCTACCAGTTTTTTCTATACAAAAATTTGTTGATCAAAATTTGGTTTTTGAAAGTGCGTTTTTTTTCTCTTTTGTGAATTTCATTTGATTTTCATGGCGTTACCGAACATAAAATATCAGTTTCTGAGGCTTCAGCCCTAGCTCTCTAACGAACAAACACATTATATAGGATGACGATTTTTATTGGCATTAGGGCATAATTTAACTCTGAGCAATATTAAGCAGTTTTATTTAAGAGTATACGAAAAGTGCAGTTCCTAATAATCAAATATTTAAAATTACATAATATTTTTAAAATACATATTTCAATCTAAAAATGCATATGGAATGCCAATGAAATATCAGAGGTTTTTAAATTGATTGTAAAATTGTTTAAAAGTATGAAAAAAAAACTGTTAAAAGTTTTGCCTGCAAGTATATTTTATATTAAGTATTTTCCTTTTTTTAAGAATTTAATTGTAATTAACAAATTTTTTTTTTAGGAATTTAATTTTAATTAAAAACATTTTTTTAAGAATTTAATTTTTATTAAAAACAAATTTTTTTAAGAATTTAATTTTAATTAAAAAAATTTTTTTTAAGAATTTAATTTTTATTAAAAACAAAATTTTTTTAATAATATAATTTTAATTAAAAAAATTTGTTTAAGAATTTAAGTTGGTAATGTAAATGTCTGTAAAGACAAAAAATCTAAATATAGATTTTAAATAAATTGAAACTGGATCAACAAGTTACTTAATGAATATTTAAATTATTTATAAATTTAAATTTCAATCTCTTACAAAAAAATTACTTAAAATGGCTCAAAGTCTACCCAATGCTTTGAATTTGGACTTTGGTTATGCCATAAAATTCGACCCACCCTTATACCAGACACCCCTTACTTAAGCCTATGTGAAGGAATGGGATGATTCGATGAGCCAGCGGAGGAGCTGCTTGAGCGGAGCCACAACCACAATAAAGAACAGAATGCAGATGATGCGACAATTCTTGAGCAGGCCGACAACAAACTGAATGAATTGTATGGAGTATGAAAACCAAATTGTACTACACTGTTTAGGATACAGCTCGGAGTCCAGACTGCGATCAGTGTCCGATCCCCTAGCCGCATCCTCCTCCGTCGGCCTCTTACCATTTGCCAGTTATAATTTGGCTATGTGGAACTGGGCCTGCTGGTTGGCCGCCGTTGAGTATTGGGCGAATGGCATTAACTGGCAATACTCGAGCAGCTGTCGCTCCAGCTCCTCAAGGCACTTTCCAGGGGTTCCGGGGATCTTCAGCTGTCCAGAGTCCCGGCTTTTAAGCAGATAACCCCTTTGTATCAGAGCATAGATGGCAATATTAAGGTTATCTAGCGCCAGGCAATACGGATGAACGTGGAAGGCAGTTCCGCCGGGCTGCTGGAGCAGCTGTTCCACATGCTTCTGGACGCGAACGAGGAGATCTTTGTTGCTGAATTCCAAATCCAAAGGAATCTACAAAAGTATTATTATAAAATATGATAAAAACTAGTCATAAATTGAAATATATTACTCACTTTTCTTAGGGTGACCACCAACTGGTAGTAGAGGCACAGGAATGGTGCCAGGGCGGCCAATATGACATGCGAACACTCGTTGTCCTGCACCCTGATCCTTCCACTCTTCGCCACCTCCACGACCCGTTCGTCGAGGAGCAGCTGTAGATGCGTCTCAAACTCGGCAGCCTCTCGATTCGATTCAATGATGAACTCATGCTGAAACAAGGCATCCATGTTGGTCACATGCGCATGAAGTGCACTCAACGTAGAATCGTATGAGATGTTCGAGAAATCCAGACTCTTCTCCTGACTCCTCTGCTCCTTGAGAGCCGCCAGGAGCAGATAGGCCGGCCTGGCCAGCCAGAACATGCAGGGATTCACGTAGAGCTGAAGGGCCAGCATGGGAACTGCCACCGCCATGGTTTGTGGACAGAGCGCATGAGCCTTTAGACGCTTCACATCGATCCTGTCCGCCAATTGCTTGGCGGCCATCGGTGTGAATTGTAATCGAGCGCTGACAAAATGAAGGATATTCGCGTGTATCTCCACAGCATCAATAATATCGGCCTTAATGCTTCCCGGCCTGGTGCTGACATGTGCTCCCAGCTGCTCAAAGATGCGCTTAAGATGTAGGACACCCCGGGATAGCTCATCAATGTTGACACTTTTTTGGGCATACAATTGACTAGCGTAGTACAGACTCAGCAGATTGAACGTAGTGATCACAATGCGTCGCTGCTGCTGATAGATAATCTCATTGGCCAGCTGCTTCACCAGCTCCACCTCCTGGCGGTTGAGCTTTTGCAGATGCCCGCCCACACCGGCACGCTGCATCCGCTGGGAGCTGTCGTGTCCAAAGAACTCCTTTACGGATATTGGCTCACCAAAGTCCAAAAACATCTTGCCAAATCTCTCATCGATGATCTTAAGGGCCTTGAAGAAGCCCTTCGTGGACTCCTTGGGCTTTGGCACTCCCAGCAGCTCATAGACAAACAGTTGCTCCTCAAGCACTCGCTCGTAAGCCACACTAACTGGCACAATCATCACATCCGGGACTTCGCCGGTAAAATATGGCAGTAATGCCATTGACAAAAGTCCAATCTTTGGCACGAGAGCTTTAAAATTTCGAGACCGTGTGCCCTCGATGAAGAACTCTACGCCAATGTGATAATTGGCCACTAAAGCGTACATGTATTCCCGGAAAATATCCCAGTAAAGTTCGTCGTTGGAGAAGCTGCGACGCATAAAGAAGGCTCCAGTTTTCCTTAGCATGGTGCCCATGCCGAACATGGAATGGAAATCTGTAGGGGATAACATTTGTAATTCAAAGATTAAGCTTTTTTTTTATAATTTTTTCGGTGACTTTATCAACGATTTCGAATTAATTTGAGAAATCAAATTAGTTTTGTGACACATTTCCTCGGAAGTGTGAAATCCATGAACCGAAAAATATTGCTAATTATACTAATTTCATTTCAAACATTCCTAACAAATTTAGGGGGTAATTATCGTTCGGGTAAAAAAGTTAATTAGGCATTGACAATGCGATAAATAACACGCTAACTAATTAAAATTTAAGCACATTTGTAGGCAATACACTTCAATTTTCATATACAAATGTTTATGGCAAACAAATTAGTGCTTACACTTAAAAAAAGAGGCAGCTACACGGCCAATACAGTAGAAAAAATATAATCATAAAACTTCTACAGAAAATAATCACTAAAAAGAAACACAGGAACGACCACAATCATAAATAAATAACCTCTAATCTAATGGCAGAAGGTGGCCTTTGATCTTCTTTCTATAATCATGTTTTCTTTTTAAATTTCAAAGGATTTCTTTAATACATACCCATTCCGGCGGCTATACCGGGTATCTCTATGTCGTAGTAATAACAGATGTACGACATTAGGATAAAGTCCATGTAGCTGCGATGGCTGGGAAGGTAGAGCACCGGACACTTGCCCATATCCTTGCGCACATTCAACATGCTGGCCGAATTCACGTAGAATCCATCGCAGATCCTCTTGCCAATGGCTGTGATGGCGATCCCGCACCACCGAATAATAGCCATATTTCGCTCCAGGCCAATCTCCTCGATGATCGCCTTGGCCTGGCGCTCCAACTGCTTAACCGGCTGACCCGATTCCTTAGCATAATGCTCTAGTATGGATCGCAGTTTTTCACTCTTTAGCACGTGCTGCTTGAGCTTCAGGGGATTAAGGTACTTCTCGAACTCGTAAGCCACCTGGGGATTGAACTCTCTGGTCATGGACGCCTCATTACCCGGCGCTATGATGTTCTTGAAGTTCAGCATATAATCAGCGCCGCTGGGTACATTTTTCTCCTCCTGATCACTGGGTTCACAGCCTGGTCCTCCACCTCCGCCGCCTCCTCCTCCACCGGTTACCGTGACTGGATTCCGCTCCATCTCGTTGAGCTACACCTGGGGAAATGTGAAAAGCAACGTGCGTGGGGCTGTTGAAAATCTTTGGAGGTAACTAAAAATAAAACAGCAACGTCGAGTGCGGTGCCATTTGACGAATCAACTGACAAGCAACCGGCACCACTTAACAGACATGACACACAGACACACAGTGTCATATACCCGCACACACTGGCACACGTTGTTTGCTGAGATATCGCTTGCACTGGGAAAAATATTTACACAGAAATTATCCAACAAAAAAACAACAACACAAAGTCGTTGCCTTCAGATAAATAAATAAGCAAAGGCGGCTTTGGTTTAACGTGTTTCTCATTATTGGAAACTGTTTTTCTTTAAAATACATTTTAATTTAATATTTAATGTAATTATTAATTTTAAAAATATTCTTTTTTGGTCTTAGCCTAAGAACTTTTAAAAGGTTTTTTGACATAAGGCACAAAGTCACACAAAAAGGTTAATTATAAGGCCTGCTTGCCACACGAAATACATTTAGTTTTTTATGATCTACGTTTAGTTAAACTAAATGATATTGCTCTCCTGAATATTTCTTCTAGTGCAAACGAAGATAGTAAATCTACCCGAAGCAGTTTAGGTAATCAACGACCAGTGGCAGCAAGCTACGAGCACTTGGCGGCATTGCGTGTTAAAGGTGAGCACATTGTACTATATACTACTTTATACATTGACTTTAAATTGAAAAACCTCGCATAACTTAAGCCGAGTCTGAAGGCTTGTACAAAGCTCATAGTAGCTGGGGCCGCTCCCCCAAAAATTGCAGCCATTACACCTGAAGCGCTATTTACAAGTGCTTAAAATTGCTCATGCTCATGAAGATGATAGAAAAATGTGTTTTAATACACAAGGAAATTTTTATATTATTTTATTTGAATATTTGAATATTGTGAATAAATTTTTGATAAAAGATCAATGTTTTTCTCCCTTTACGATTAGTTTCTATACTAAACCAATTTCTTTTAATTACATTTAAGATAATTTCTTCCTGTGTATACCATGACCTAGACCTATCTCAAAGATCAGCTCAAGGAGACCAGTTCGTGACACGACACGAGCACATATCTGGTGAACCACAACGGCCAAAAGCCTCGTCGTCACTCATCAGGTGAGGCGCAAGCACACCTGGGACAGGTAAAAGAAAGGCAAAGTAAATAAACATCGGCAAAGCTACCATAGAACCAAACACACCCTCTCACGCACACACACACCAGCTGAAGATAAAGCCGTAGAAAACACCTGATAGCCGCCGATTAGAAGCGGTTAAACTAAACCACGCATGGCAACGGGGAGGGAAATTAAAAATTAATACGAAAATGCAATTTTAGACGACAGTTGCACTGGCTCCCACAAAAAAATTCACACTTAATTCCTGGTAGCAATTCACACATTTGGTCTGGCCATTTAGCCGGCAATTTGCGACGGGGCTTAAAGTTTAAACATATTCATTTTGTTGACAACGCCAGCGAAATAACACATACTATTAACTGGGTAAATGCACTTTTCGACAAAAACTTTCTATTTATACACCTCACTCAGGTCATGCTGACTAATTGGTTACGTATGTCACACACTATGGGAATAATCTATATTTTTTTTCGGCTCAGATAAGACGTTCCTATTACCGAAGCCAATTAAAAAATGAATCACTTTACAGATAGTGCAGCACATGCGATTAGTAATGGGTGGGTTTTAATGGGGGTAGTTGAACTTTGCTTAGAATTACAGGGTATTCGCTAGTTGTTTTACCGGTCAACGCACTGGGGTAAAATTCAATAAGAGCTGCTCTGGCAGGAATTATGAAGTAAACGTTTCTCGCACTGCTCGAGGCCGCCGCTTTTAATGCATTTACTTCACCGCACGAGGCCGACGCTTTGCTTCACAATGTGCAATTTATTTTTGATCTGCTTGACCGAGTTTTAACGTTTTAGCAGCAGCGGCGGCGCGGTTGTTTTGTTTTGTTGACGAAAAAGCAGCTGCGGGTCGATATTAGGGTTGTGGATATCGATACTTTTCAAAGAATGATAATTATATCGATATTTTTTGTTTGCTCAAATATCGATATTGAGATAATTTTTTGTTGATATTTCGCAAAATATTTTTAATATTTCTAAATAAAAATGAAATTTAAAATAAATTTTACCAATATTAATTTTTCACTGCAATCGTTAAATTTTTGTTTTAACATTAAACATAATCACGAATTTAAAGAATAATAAATAAAACTAAAATTAAAATAATACAAGTCATTAATTATTCTTAGATTCAAAGCTCATAAATAATTGTTTAGCAATTCTAATTTACAAATATAATTATTGTTAACTACTCTATCGTATAAAATAATAAAAAAATCATTAATTTTCCTAAGTTTCTATCCCATCCACTTGGGTACCACTGTACTTTCCGCCTTGAAACTGGTTTGGAAAGCTTTCATCGCTCAGCTTTCGCTCTTATCGGGGTGGCAACGTCTTGGTTATATCGCAACTCAGTGGTCGTTGGTCGTCGTCTGGTTTTGTCTCGAATTTGCATTGCGCAAAGTGCAAAACTCAGCGGAAAAATCGAGCAACATCATCATGTCGTTTTGGAGCCACGTACTGGATGCCCTGCTGGCACTGGTCCACATCCTTAGTGACCGACTGCTGGAGTTCACCCTGGGATGGTATTTGGGTCCGTTCAAGCGGGTTCCGGGTCCGCCCAGCCTGGAGCAGCAGGTGTTGCTCAGCAAGAGCGCCGTGGAGTTGGCGCAGCTTATAAGGGAACGCAAGACCCGCAGTTACGACATAGTCAAAGCCTATTGTGAGCGTATCGAAAGCGTCAACAGAGATCTCAACGCCGTGGTCGATGGACCCTTTCCGGAAGCCTTGGATCAGGCACGCGAAATCGACCGGAAGTTGTCCAAAAAGGAGTACAGCGACGAGGACTTCCGGCGCCAGCCATTCCTTGGAGTGCCCTTCAGCACCAAAGATAGTACGGCGGTGGCTGGAAAGCTCCATACGTTGGGTCTTCTATCCCGGAAATCGGAACGATCTGCTACAGATGCCGAGTGCGTGCGGCTGATGAAAGAAAGCGGCGCCATTATCATCGCTACCAGTAATGTCCCCGAGGTGAACAAGTGGATCGAGACCAGGAATATGCTGATTGGTGGCACCAATAATCCCTATGATCTCCGAAGGTCTGTGGGCGGCTCTTCCGGCGGAGAAGCTGCTCTCATTGCCGCCTGTTGCACAGGCTTTGGCCTGGGAACCGACATCGGCGGCTCCATTAGAATTCCCGCCTTCAATTGCGGAGTCTTTGGGCATAAACCCACTGCCGGAGCCGTCAATATGGCCGGATGTACATTCCGGACGGGCAAGGAGAAGGAAACGATGGTGTGTGCCGGACCCATGAGCCGTTTTGGCCGGGATTTACTGCCCATGATGCAGGTTCTCGTAGAACCATCGTTGAAATCGAAGCTGAAGCTGGATGAGCAGGTGGATCTGAAGCGTCTCCGCTACTTCTATGTGGCCTCCAATGGCATGGCGCAGTGCAATCCTGTCAACAGAGAAACGGAGAGAGTTATGTACAAGGTCCGCAAGCATTTCGAGAGTGTCACCGGAAAGGAAGTGCGACATGCAAACATACCCAATACCAAGCTGACCGGCAAGATGTGGCGCTACTGGATGACCCAGGAGCCGGCCAACTTTAATCTGTTGCTGGGAAACGGTGCCGAGCTCAATCCGTTTGTGGAGCTGTTCAAGAAAATCCTGGGACAAAGCGACTACAGCATGGCTGCTATCTACGGGCTGATTGACAGTGTTCTGCCTAAGGAATCGGAGCGATTGATGCGGGAGGCCACCACCAAATGCAAAAGGGTACTGGAGGAGCTGCTTGGTGACGATGGCGTCCTGTTTTACCATAGCTCACCGAGGACAGCACCCTTCCACTTCTACCCGCTGGTCAAGTTCAACGATTTCGCGTACTTCAGCCTCTTCAATGTGCTCCGTTTGCCGGCCACTCAGGTGCCCATGGGTCTGGACTCGAAGGGAGTGCCTCTCGGCATTCAGGTGGTGGCCAATGCGAATAACGATCGGTTGTGCCTGGCTGTGGCCGAGGAACTGGAGCGAACTTTTGGCGGCTGGGTGCCTCCATTTCCACTGAAACACTAGAGACTAATGACAAATGATCAAATTATTGTTAAACTTTTGTAATTTAGGTGTTGGTAACCTCTGGAGACTGTCGCTTGTGGCCTTGTTACAGGGAACTAATAAAATGTTGTACTCTTTTATACTAAATTCTACAGATTTTAATTGTTTTTTGCGTTTTTTTGCAACTTGAAAATGTACAAAAACAGACATCAGCTGTTGCTATAGATGATCTGGCAACCCTTCGACGCTGTATAAGGATGCCAGACTTGATGGTCAGACTTTTAAACTTTGGCGCAAAGTCATATATTTGACGTTTCATAAAAATCGTTTTTTTAACTGTCTAAGATATTTTAAAGGATGTATAACAATATTTTCAATTTCATTAAATTAATTTAACAGGTCCAGATTATTTAATTCTCTTTATATTTTGTCGAAAAGCTGGTATTTTGTAGTAATTACTCGCATACCAAAAATGGCGATCACTACCACCGATAGTTTTGTTTGACGTCAAGTTTTTATCGAAATGCAGATCATCGTTTGTGGCAAGAAGAAGAAAATTTGTTGTGCGTCCTTTAATTGTAAGAAAATGAACGAAAATTGTGTTGTATCTGCTTAAAAAAGTGATGAATAGTGCAATATAGTAGTTTATAGTGAATCAGAAGCTTACGGATATCGGGCATACCTGTGATAGTTGGTGGCAATCGTGCAAAGATCAAAAAATAAGCAGGTACTTTCTGCGTCTAATGGCCAATTGGGATTTGCTTTAACGTGTGCGTTTTCTCTATTTCCCTAGGTATTTATTAGAAATGTGAAATCTTCTTAAGTCTTCCCTTAGCTACTGCCATGTAGCAGGACCTTTGAACTCTGTTGCCCGGGCGGCGGTGATAAATGGATCTGGTGTCAGGAAACACTTAACCCACAAACTTCCAGGAGCCTGGGAATTTAGTTGGGGGTTCGAAGATGTTGTCACGCTGTCAACAATTAATTTGTCCGCACACACACATTCGAACACACACGGGGGCACTCACTTCACACATTGACAAGGGGAGTGGAGAAGTCCCTTTTCTTGGGGATTGCACGGAGTAGGATGTGCAATTTGCGTGTCCACGCCAGTGCCCGTACCCTTCACATCTCTTCGTTCATGCTTAACAACCACCTTTTGTTATTGGTTCCGGTAAGGGGTATTATAATTTTGACCAAAAGTTTGTACCGCAAACTGGTCTATTGATATCTTTCGTAAAATACAACAAAAATGTATCAAATTCATAAAAAATATTGGTATTAGTCTTATAAAATACTAATTAGGTAATTATTTTCCCCGTTTCCTTATATGAAAGTATCCTTTAGTTAAAAAGTTTTTAAAGCTTTAGGAGTAACATTTGATTTTATTTGCATCAACAGTCGAGTAGATCTAGAGTAGATCCTTGTTTCAGTGCCACTTAATTCACTTTATATTTAATTTCAAGCAACCTCAATTGAGCCGAAAAGTTAATTAGCCCGATTAGGTATTACTTGTTTCGATACCAGTGGCATCTATCCTTGCCCATAAATTTGGTGCAACACGGAGGTGGCTTTTCACCCCGCCTCGTCTGGCTTGGCATTTGTCTAATTCGAAGCTCCTCCGCCCCGTCTGGATTCATCTCTTCGCCCGGCTCTGTTCCGCTGACCAAGCGGCAAATATGCCTTAATATTCGGAATGGACCGGCAAAAGTCAAGTGTGGGCGCGTGTGCAATTGTCCAAGTATTCCGACTTTCCTCCCATTGCCTGCTTTTGTTGTTTGTCGCTTCTGTTTATGTCTCCTGCCTTGTTTCGTTTGGTTTCGCTTAGGCTGTGTGTTTCTGTTTTTGAAATATTAACGACGCCCTTTTGCTGTTTTTTTGTGTTGGGCCCCCCCTTTTGCCCCTCATCGTCTCAGTTCATAACTTTGCATTCAAGTGTTTTTGCCTGCATTTAATGTATTTGCTGGGATTATCTTTCCACAATGGATACCACACCCTGCCACGCCACAATATCGTATGTAAATATGGGCATATGCGTGTGGGGAGCTCTATGAGACTTTGTAGGTCTGCTGAAGATGGAGGGGCTATAAAATCGAGGCTATATTTATTCCGAAAATCTGGCGATAACTACAAAATTATACCTGAAATGTTATTTGTTTTAGTGAAACTGAAAATTACTACTTTAAATTTCTGTTTTTATGGAAAGAGCTTGGCAAATAACATCTCTACCAAAGAATCTGCGCTCTAAACTTTCACATTCCTTTACAAAATTCAATGTTATCCTTTTTGGGACTCAAATGTGAAATTATGAACATGAAAGGGGAGAAAATCGTGGCAGATATTCAGTATCCGCGCTCATCCTCGTCAGGCCTTTGACAAATCCGCAAATCCAGCCACTAAACAGCAATTTTTTATGGACTCCGCCGGCCGGCCATCCCAACCAAAGCACATTTGCCTATGCAAACAAACAAAAAAAGTAGTTGGACTTTGTTCTTTTTTTTTCACTGATTATTTGCTGTAGGAAAAACGTCTACATTGTTGGAATTCCTTTTGCAAAAATTGCCACGTGACACAAAGGCGTCTGGAGCACACACAGAGAGAGCGCCTTTTATTGGCCTGACTCCGCCAAATGTGGTTGGGTCGGGTGGGTGGTGGTTCCTGGGGCTCATAGGACTCATAGGGCTCGTGGTGCGCTGCTGGCCCAAACACAATAGGCCCGAAAATGACGTTGCAACAATTAATGTGAACAGTTTTGCAGTCGTCCTCGACGCTGTCGTCGTTGTTTGGACGTGATTTATAACGTGCATAAAATTTGCGGTCCCTGGCAAGCACCTACCCGCCCGAAATGCCACAATGTCAGCCCCCAAAAATTTGTCAAGGGGCATTTTCGGATGGAGCTGCGTTTTCCAAAAGATCTAGTTCAGTTCGTGATTGATTAAGGGGGTCTTCTCATTGGGCAACTTTTTTTTTTCGATTTTTTTTTTTTGTATATTTTTAGAGCTTGGGATGGTATGTATATGTCCCCAAAAGGATTTTTAGAAATTCGAAATACTTTAGAAGATACAGCCTTTTTTGTGAAGCAAGTTCTTCGCAAAATGAGCTTTTTTCAAACTTCAAACGCGTTTATCTCGAAACCACGTTTTTCGAACTGGCGGCCATGATATCTCCAGTTCAACTGAACCGATTTTCATGAAACAAAGTGAAGTCGACGCAGAATTGTCACCATTCTCGGGTGACGGAACAGATTTTTTTAAAATTTTTTTTCTATTTTTTTTTTTTACACTAAACTAAAAAAAAAAGCCCGAAATCGAAATTTTTTTTTGAATGGCCGCCATTTTGTTTAAAAAAATTAAAAAAAAATCTGTTACGTCACCCGAAAATGACATCAATTCTGATTATAACCCCGTTTTTATTTTTCATTTCGGACGCTCTGGAGACCCTGAATCGTGGCCGCCAGGACGACACCTTTTTTTCGACCACCAAGTTTGAAGTCTCATTACTCTTTGAACAACCCTCGTATCGAGGCAAGAACAACTTTTTTAGTTACTTTGAACATTTTTGAATACAATAAATAAAAAAAGTTTTCAATTATTCTTTGCGTTTTCAAATAAGAATTTTTTTAAAAAGGGTCCAAAAAACGGCTTTTGAATGAGAAGACCCCCTTAACTAAATGAAAGTGAAGTTTATTTTGAAGTAAAGCGGTTTAGTGAAAGAAATATTGTTTGAACAAAATTATTCAATTATTCAATCATTATAAAAGTTTATAATCTATTTTCCCTTTTCAAAAAATCTTCATTTAAAATATCGTAGCTTTGTATCTTAATTTATTAGTTGTCTTATTTAAAATTCATAATATTTACAATTGAATCCTTAAGGATTTTTCCATATATCATATTTATAACAAGAAAGGAAGCTAACTTCGGCACGCCGAAGTTTGTATACCCTTGCAGATTGGTTTCGATGTTTCATTACATTTTACCCATACTTATTATGTTTACAGTTTGACAGTTACAGTTTTACATTCCCAGTTTTACATTTTCTCTACATCTACCGATCGGTTTATATGGCAGCTATATGATATAGTTGTCCGATTTTTATGAAATTTATACCATAATTCTAGAATAATAAAAAAAGATTATATCTCAGAGTAGATAAACATACGTTGAAAAACAACGAAACTATAATTTTTTTTCCTATTTATTTCTCGACCGTTCCTATGGCAGCTATATCATATAGTCGTCCGATTTTGATAAAATTTTTACCAAAATTCTGAAATAATATAGAATGGCCAAATCTAAAAAATGGTGCAAAAATGTTGAAAAACAGCAAAGTTATAAATTTTTTTCTACAAATATATCGAACATTTGTATGGCAGCTATATGATATAGTCGTCCGATCCGGCCCGTTCCGACATATATAGCAGTGAGAGCATATAGAAGACTATATGCAAAGTTTCATTCAGATAGCTTTAAAACTGAGGGACTAGTTTGCGTAGAAACGGACAGACGGACGGACGGACGGACGGACGGACGGACGGACGGACAGACGGACAGACGGACAGACGGACATAGCTAGATCGACTCGGCTGTTGATACTGATCAAGAATATATATACTTTATAGGGTCGGAAAGGTCTCCTTCACTGCGTTGCAAACTTCTGACTGAAATTATAATACCCTGCAAGGGTATAAAAATATTTATTATTCTAAGTTATTAAGCAATTTAAACCATAACATATAATACCATAATATTTAATTGCATCATTCTTGGTTCCTGAACCAGTCATAGGTTCCCATCCCGAAAAGGACACTCTGTCCAACTCTGGTGCTGGGGCTTTTTGTGGTTTTGGGAGTATCCACTTACCACGCCCCCTTTCGTAATTTATTGATAGTTGCCAGTTTCAGTTTCGCCTCTAATAAGCTGTCCCTTTCCTCAGAGTTCTCGTCCCACTTCATTCCATTGTGTCTGGGGTGCATATTTGAAAACTATTCGCACTGTGTGATAATTTATGTGGCAAATAGAAATTACATAATCGTTTGGCCGTTTATGCAAATTAATTGAAAACTTTTCGCGCAACCCAAACCCTCCTCTGATCTCGTCTGTTGTTGTTTTCTTTTCCAATTTGTATTTTACTCAAATCTTTGTCTG